TGATCAAGCCAGTGAAACTCACGTTTACGCTTTTGTTCCTCAGGAAGGACAACCCAAAGGGTTTCATTTCAGAAATATTACAAAATCTTAAGTACCTTTTTGTTTTTCTAAATCCCTTTTCTGACCGCATCAGAGCTGAAGTTTCACCTTAAACTTAAAAGCATAAAGACAGACAGTTAAAAGACAAGTTTTATGCAACCTGGCCTACAGTCCTAATACAAGACCATCATTAAGTCAGCAAGAGCCTTGAGCAAGTCCTTAGCTGTGAGCACAGACTTAAAATTACTTCAAAATCCATCAGCTTTTACCCCATTCCTTAAATAAAAGGTGAATTTAAGAAGTACTCTCCTATGTCGGGGCCTACGTTTGTATCAAAGCTTTTACGCAAATCTGTGCAAAGCTGCTTTGTAAAGGGAGAGGCAACCATGTTGGTACCCATAAGCTGCAGAGCTGCACCAATCCTTTATACCCAGGTAACTGATGCCATGTTCTAAAATGTCTGACTCCTCTTTTTAGCCACCTTCAAGAAACCGGCGAGAGCGGGCTGAACTGAGGCCAGACTTCTTTGACTCTGCAGCTATCATTGAGGATGATTCAGTAAGGCTTTACTAGTGTTTGCTGTTTATTTGAGGTTCTTTTTTATTATCATCACACCTAATTAATTACTGTCTTCTACATCATTTTTCTAGGGATTTGGAATGCCTATGTTCTGAAGTTTGGTGAAGACATTTTACAAATTTGGAACTCTATTGTTTAGAGCTAGAGGCCTATATACTGTGATAGCTTGTATGAAAACCACATTTTTGATGTGATACGGTTTGATTTTTAATCAAATGATTGAGGTCAATCCCTTTTTGTAGTGACAGAAAGAAGAGGGACTTAATGACACAAAGGAATGTTGGCCAATCCAGTCACCTCAGAAGGGCTGACCTAAAAAATCATTTGTATCCCTGTTCTTGACTGTCCTAATACAGATTTTTTTTTTTTTTTCTGGATGAGGAGGAAGTTTTAAATTGTTAAGACAGCTGTCGAAATAAACACTGTTCTACATATGTTTTCTGAAAACAACATTGAGTGGAAACAGAACTTTTTAACTTTATTTTTCTGCTGTACAATTTAAAACAGTTTTAACATTTGCCTTTTTATGTTTTAAATGCTAGCCATTTTTATTAAACCTATGCCTATCAGCCATTGACTAGCAATGATGCTATAAGCAGGTCATTCTGGCTACAGAAAAGTGTTTTTGAACACACTGGATTTGATTAACATTATGGTACGCTTATATCCTCTCACAGGCATTGAGAAGAACACTCGCATAGAAGAGGTTAGAATTCTAATGACGTGCATCTCTGCCAAAAAATTTCAGATTCTGATATGATAAACCCAGATTTTATACTCTTGAGAAGATTTATTTTTATTTATAATGGGACATAAAGTAAGAGATGTCCATGAAGCCACTTTTCCAACAGATGCTGTGTAACATTCATTTTATATAGCACATGGGGACACAAAAACAGTAAATTTTCTATTGGTACTTGCTCTGTGCATTTTTAGCAACTTATACCAGCAAATAAAGTATTCTCAGTAAAACACACAAATGGTTCTCAAGTAATCACTTTGCTGTTTTTACTACCTACTTCAAGCCCTGCCAACCCGAGGTACATAAACAGCAACTTTCCTATTAAAAAAAAAAAAATAATTCAAGGGTGGGGGAAAGGAATCACTTTAGCATACTAAAAGCAATTTTAACTGTACCATAAAAAAAGTCTACTTTCCATGCCGTAAATACCCTTTTGCGCTATTTTTGTAAATTAATTTTGCCAGTTAGAAGTACTGTATGTGCTGCATAGAAATTTGTGCTTAGATGGTGAAGTTCTTAAGCTTACAATGGAATACAGCTACATTTTCAGTGTTAACTGTGCATATTGAGAGTAATTCTTGGGAAAAAAAAAATATCATTTTTCAAAAAAGTTAAAAACATCAAAAAAAACCAAAAAACCCAAAACATTCTCAGCTAATTCATTGTAATGAGATTTTTCAATGTCTTTGATAATTTGGAATTTCATTATACTTCGATTTTATGACTCTGCCTAGTAGCTGCTACTTAGTTAAAACTGGCCTGATGTCAGAGGCGCTGGCCATCCACAACTTGCACTGACTCTGCTCTCTCTGAGGATCAGCCCCAAAGCGTTAACCTTCCTTTCTGCATTCTAACATTAGCACTTGAGATACAAAGCAGATTGACCCACTTGGAGCACAGCAGTTTTAGAGGTGCTTTTTTTAGCAACTGCGAAATAACCATGGAGCTTTTTTCTGTTACGAGCTTACTGAAAAACAAAACAACGTTCATGCCCAGCGCTTACTTGCTGGGAGGGAAAAGAATCTAATTTTAAAAACAAACCAGCATTTCACTCGGCTGAGGTTTGTTTCTTACAACACGTGCAGTTCTCAGACATGGTTGCCAAAAATGTTTGACTGGGTAATTCAGCCATTCCTCAGCTGTCGGCTGGGTAACGTATAAAACCCGAGAAGTAGCTGGAACTTTATAAAATAACGTTACCTCCCTTCTCTTCTGTCCATCCAAAAGCAATAGGGGTGGGCAGGAATGGCTGCATTCAGTTGTCACCACAATAATTCTGTGAGCATAGTAGCATAATAAATGCTGCCCGGTTTGAGTCATAGTCTCAGACGAACCTTGTGCTTCACAGTCCTCTGTGTGGAAAACGGATTCCTAATTTAACATTGTAGAATACTGTATAACAAACATTTACTATCACGGTACCTGCAATGGGTTTCCAGTTCAGTTTGCAGTCAATAGGTTTTTGTATTATGAGTGTCTCCTTGATTGGTTTTGCTAGTAATTCTGTAAATTGTACATTTACAATATGAGGTTTTTTTTTTTCCTTTTGTACAATTTAAAACTGATGCTTCACCTTTCATTTAATAAACTATTCAAAATCATGAGTATGATGAGCACCCTCTTCACTATAACTTTCTTTTAAATGCTCGTTTGGACCATCACATCTTGTCATCCCATTTATTAGTAGCCAAAGGTAATACTGATGGATAGTTCTCCCATAGCCCAGGCTCCACAACCAGATTCTGTACAGCTACTGTACCCACTCAGCCTCAGTGCAAAGGAAAAACCTGTTTCC